TTTTTAAAGAGCATAGAATAATCATATAGTATGTTTGAGAGTGCCTAGAAAATTTAAATTAATTTTAGTAAGTATAGGGAATATTTTTTATAGGAAAAAGTGTAATTTTCACACTAAATAAATAAATTGAAGGCTCGAATTAGGGCCAAAAATTATGAAAATTTAAATCAAACTCCCTTAATTAATTTTTGAATTTATTATAGAAATAAAATTGATTTTTGAAAGTATAGAATGGAATTTTAAAAGAAGAGACTAAATTGCATAAAATTAGGGACTCGATTGCATAAAATTAAAAGTCTAATAATCCAAATTAAATTATGTGAGAATTTTAAGGGTTAAAAATTAGTCCTAAAAACTAAAAAGGAAGGATTAGAAGTGAGTTTTTTTCATAAAAGAGGGACTTAGGAAAGAATGGGCTATGGAAAAGTTTAGAAACTTGGAGGATCAAAATTTTTCATTTTCCTCCCAATTTTGGTCGACCTAGATTATTAATTAAGTATAACTTGCAGTAAAACTTATGGAAAAAAAGAATCAAGATGGAAGGGTTAAATAAAAAGGTGAATAAATGGCTAAAAATTAGGACAAATGCAAATGAATGATTGGAAATTTAATTAAGGGCTGAGATTTTCCCAAATCAAGGGTGGAGATGAGATCAATGATTCCACAAAATTTCATATAAATAAGGTTGCTGGAAAAATAAAAAGGAGAGGAAAAATTGAAAAACACAAAGGAAACTCTTACACAATGTTCACTTAAAAATCACCCAAATTTTTTTTAATAAATTTTATCCATCTCTAATCAATGGAAGAAGCTTGAATTTTAAGTGGGAAGCCAAAAATCGCAAGGTAAAAATTCAAAGATCAAATTCAAAAATTTAGAGGAAAAGAAGAGGAAGAGAAATCCTTTGCCAATCTACCTTTTTAGAGTCTAATTGGACCTCAAACAAGTAAGTTAACCTCACCTAAACCACAAGAATGCTTAATTTTAAGTCAATTTCATGTTTAATTTCTTGATTTGATTTAATTGCTCAATTAAGAAAAATTAGGGTTAGGGTTACGGTTCTTGATAAACCAAATTTGAGGATTTTGAATTATTTCATTTAATTGGTGTTTTGACACTTTATTCTGAATTATTTGAGCATGAATTAATTTTTAGGAATGAAAATGTCACTTTAATTGAAGAAAAATCTAATAATTTTGAGGAATTATATTCGGCCTAAACTAAGCAAATTAGGATTTGAGTTCAAAGAAATTTAATTCTGGTTTCATGGGTCATTCAAACTTGAATAAGCATGTTTTGATGAGTAGAAATGAAAATTTGCTAAACATTGAAGAAAATGGGTTATATGGGCTTGGGCCCAATTTCGGCCCATTAAGGCCCAATATGGGTTTGGACTAGATTTCGGGTCCCAAATTTCAATTAAATTAATTCCTATAGTTTTTACATGTCTAGGCTACTTCGTGTTAAAATGGTGGGACAAAATGAGGAGAAAATGTTATGATTTTAAAAAGGTCAAGTTTAGGCCTAAATGGGAATTTTGGAAAAGTAGGTTTAAACCAAGTTTTAAACCTTAAATTTGATGATTCAGACTCAAAACACAGTAAAACGATGGTTTAGAATGAAATGGGCTCATAAAAATTTATAGAGAAATTGGGTTAGGAAAAATGGGACCTTAGGCCCATTAAAGCCCAAACCAAAATTGAACCTCCTAAATCAATGAAATAATACCTAGTTAGGTTGGAACATGAAATGATACTTAATTTGGTAAAGACCAAATATGGAAAGATAATTAAGAACCTAAGGAAAAGAATTTAGGAAAGTAAAGTGAAAGGTAAGTTTAATGAACAAAGAAATGGAACAAAAATGTTAATCTTCCTTTATGTTATGGTTATGTTCTTTCAAATGCTACATGAATGCATTAGGTTATGAACAATGGTTATGCTTGAATGTGATTGATGATGAGAATTGGGTTATGATTATTGATGTGCCAATGATGGTTGTGGTTCTTTATATTGGATTGATGTTATCTATACTTGTTATGCTTGCCTAATTTTATATCGATTCTTATGACTTGGTTACATAACCATTCTAAGTAAGCATTCATAAATTCATACAGACTTAGCTGGTTCATTGCAAATTGCATATGCATGCTTAGCTCATGAATAATATTTTAATTCATGGAAATATATTATATGTCATGGTTATCCGATAGCAATCAAAATGATTTTAAAGGAAAAGATTTTCATGACTTTGAGGTTTTGGAGAAAGGACTTCATGGTTTTTTATACGAGTGATGGTAATGGTTCACGGCTGGGCAAGTGCGGATGTGCACTTTTAGAGGCTTGGTAAGGCGCATCCATGGACGAGTCCGATTCGCTAGACATATGTGATGGAAACCCTAAAGTACCTAAATGGAACATGTCCAAAGATAGAAAAAGGATTTTCGATCTGTTTATGAAATGTTTTATGACATAAGGAAAAATGATTCATTATGCATATCAGTGTTTTATGCATACATACATATGTACGTACGCTACATGCATATGTTAACTTACTAGGTTGTAGCTCATACAATTCCTTGTGGTGTAGATAAATAAGATACTACGACTCACTTCTCCGTGAAGCTAACTACCGAGGGAGGCATCGGACGTATGTAGCTTGGATGAGGGTTTGGCTTCCGGTAGACCCATTACACGGAGTAGTTGACATAGAATCGATTATGTATGTAAATAGTTAAAGTGTGTAATCGAATTAGTAATAATAAAATAATAATATCGTAATAGTAGTATAATTATTTTAAATTATCCACTCGCATATTGACATGATTAGAAATTTAGCAAACATATAAAATGAAATAAATTAAAATAAAATATCATGATAAATAAACGCGAAAAATTTATAGCGAAGTTGAAGTAAGAAATAAGACATGAACGTCATTAAAAGATTTTTACCACGTAAATATTCTTACATACGTTACAATAAGATCATAGTGCCTTATTAGCTTACATTCATTGCGCTTCAAATGTGGCTAATGACGATAATATTCTCAACTTATTAGGTCTTGGGTTGGGGATGTTATAGGGTAACCTTTCCAAGGAGGAAAAGACTTGACAAAATCCCGAGTGTACAACATCCATTGAACACTTTGGGTGCGGATAAAATCTTAGTGCTCCACAACATTTTTTTTTTTTGCATTCCTTTTTTTTCCTCTACAATTCTTTGATTTAACCCTTTCCCTTTCCCGAATATTTAAGTATATAACATCCGGAAAAGACTTGACAATTCTAAATGCAACACCCCTAATCTCCCTTCTCTTCCAAATCCTAAATTGTGATATTTAAGTCATAATGAAAGAATGGCTTACAAAATCTAAAATTATAGTAACAAATTGCCAAAGAGGTAAGACATTGACTTATGATTGTAACATGGCCATGTTTTTCACCATAAGAAATGAATTCATTATCACCAAGCCCTCCTAAGACTTTCCATATCACATGCTCAACTTAAAGAGCTCCCCCCCCCCTCTTGCCCACCGATAACAATAATGGAACAAAAATAGATAAAGATGGTATTTAATTCCTTACACTAGTACTTAAAAAACAAAGAAAATGAGAGAACGGGATAATTGAAATTGCCGAATAATGGAGAGGAAGAGAAAAGTTGAAATTTAGGGATTTTGAAACAAAGAAAATGAGAGAAACGGGCCAATGAGATTGCTAGAACAATGGAGAAGAAAAGAGTTGGAATTTAGGAATTTTAAACTAAAGAAAATGAGAGAATCATGTACAATGGAGAAGAAGAGAAGATTGGAATTTAGGGATTTTGAAACAACATAAAAATAGAGAAGAAGAGAATAGTTGGGTGGTATAATATGCTAAGGGGTATTTTTTTCTTTTATTTTTATTTTTATAAACTAAAAATTTGTTAATATATAATTTTAAAAAAATTTATAAGTTATTTGTTTCAAAATTATAATCTCACAATTGGGATGACAATTTTTACATGTTAGTTCCTAATTAGCTACTATCATTTTAAGACATCACGTCGGATTCACGATTAATGAAGTGTCTCGATCAATAAATTTATAAGAGTAGAGGGCTTCAATAAAGCTAAAAAATAATAGAGAGTCTCAATCAAAAAAATTGAAACTATACAAGGACCAATTATAGGATAAATCCTCTTTTTTTATGTGTCTATCTCTCTCTTCCGAGTGGATCCATAGAGTAACTACCGTACATACCACTAGCTTACTCTTTGTGTATGTATTATGACAATAATTTTATTAAGAAAAATTTCCAACGTTTTAAAAACATGATAAAGTTTTTTGTTTGGCTTTAGATGCAAGGTTAATGGACCTTAAGTAGACTATCATCATCATGCATTAGTTATCTGATCAATAATACATCCGGGATCTTTGCCTTGAAAATTTTAAGACTACTTGAAGTACTTTTTGTCCTTAAAAAGGATGTAAAAGAAAAAAGAAAGCAATGAAATCACTAGGAACGATCAACCAAAGTATCTAATTAACATGTGGTCATAATTGGGTCTGATGAAGAAGACTTTGAATGAGTCAAAATAGTGGGACTTGCAGTTATTTTATTTTATTTTCAGTTTCAGGGTGAATTTTTAAATTTTCAACTAAGGTGCCCTCTGAATTCCGCGTTTTCTCACTTACCTAATAAGGTCGGCACTTTACAAGCAAAAAGCAACTTCAATTTATTAAACAAACACCACAAAGTTAATTTAACAAAGCATCAAAGAATAGTTCTGTGCTCAGACATCCAAATTAAATCATTGCTTATCGGCACACTATTAAATACTCTAATTTACACCAGCTCTTTTGTTTATAAGGTCCATTGCGTCTTAAAGTTATATAATAGAAATATTTTTTTTTCGTTACATAATAATTAATCAAATTAAAATTATCAAGACTCGAAGCTGTTCCACTAAAAAAAAACTAATATATATACAAAAATTATTTGTATTAATTTAAGCCAAATCTAAACATGAGACTGTGATGGTTTATCCTGAGTCGGGGGTGGAGACTGGGGTTGAAAAGGAGGGACAGGAGGCCCATAATACCGAGGAATTCTGGCTGCTTCACTCCGACCTCGAGCCCTACCGAGAAGGTAAAATGCAAGTGCTAGTATCAAGATGAATAGTATCAAAGGTAATGATACTATTACCACATAGCCCATTTTTGGGTCCGATTGATGCTTTCACGAGGACGGCTACTTCTCCAGCCTGCATATTGTCACAAAGTTATTTATGAACGAAAAGGGTTAGCTACTAATATTCCTCTCTCCTTCTAGCACGACCCTTTTCAATTTTCTCTCAACCAAAACGTTTTCAATCTTGCTCTTTTCCCTCCTGTTAAAAGAGTAATTATGTCCGGAATTTAAATAGAATAAAGTAAAGTGTTGATAATAATAATGGAAAATTCTATGCATGAAACTCAAAAGTAAAACCAAAAATAAAAGATCTATTTAAAATCATAATATAAAAAAAATTCAAATTGAAAATTTCTGTGATAATTAGTACTAGTAAAAAAGAAAAACTACTCAAATTCAAAACCATCAATTTAACGAAAAAGGAGACATAAAATTGCTAATATATATCTTTGAGAACGCCCGGCACACAAAAATAAAGATCTAATTACATCTTAAATCATATCTTATAAAATCACACCTTTCTTTTAAAGCGAGGAATCCAAATCGATATAGAATTACTAAGCCAAATCAACACCTAAAACAGGACATGGCAAGTAAAATATACCCAAGTATATGGATAACATTGAAGATTTGCCAACCTTTTCTCGACAAAGCAGCACCTTAAGGACTAAAACCACCCCACAGGTTGAGGTTCTACCCACGCAACACCATCTAAGTATAGTCGAATAAGCAGGGGGTGCATCATGCAGTCTAACTAAAAAAATTCTATACAGTAACATCTGAACCTGGATCGATAGGAGACAAGTTTCTAACCCTCATCCAGACACTCAAATCTTCTTAAAACACATGCTTACCAACATAATCCAATGATGATACTCGATGAGACAAGTTTCTACACTTCTACCAAAAACCATCCAAATGCCCCCCTTAAAACCCGGATTTTCGCATGATAGATTGACAACTAAAAACTATGTATGGATCGTTTTTCTTTTACATGCAATGTCAAAAAAGACTTGTTAATTAATTCGACGATATGCAGTGCAGAGGTCTATAAATTGTCACGCTTGTCATCACTCACCGATGTCAGATGTACGTGTGTGCCCCATTGACCACTAAAGAGAACATTTGGACTGAATTGAAAAGTGCACTTGCAGATCGAATATGAGTAGATACGGATTTATTGCTCAGTGGTTAGCACTTATGAGAATGCTTCCAAGTTCAACTCATAATGTCCAACTTGCAATTCGAGTTGCCAATCGAGATTGACACCAACCAAACCTACCAAAATATATGCTGTGTCCAACTCAGAAAGGCCTGAGGGCCTATTTGGTCTTACTTACTGTATCATAACAGTTTTACTACATATGCTGCATTATGAGGTGAAAATTGCATCGATAAAAGAAATATTTGAAAATTAAAATACCACATTTTGAAAAAGAAGAAGAAGTATTTTTACTTATAAGAATGAATCTCATGAATTAATTTTCAGCTTAAAGTGTAATATTATGGTACAATACAACATTATATAGCAGTTGCAAATAGGCTCGTTAAACAAATGCTGCTTTTAATTAAACCAAAATTATTGGCATTAAAACCATTCTTTACTGTTATTTTGGGATTAAAGCGTAACAGAGATTCAAGCTGCTTCCCCTCCAAGTAGTTTCATTAATTCCATAATAAGTTGCCCCAACCAGGGATTCGAGTTCTTTCCCCTCCCTTTGAGGGCTATTTTTTGTGTGTGTGTATATATATCGGGATCAACAACAACAATAATAATCAATTAGAAAACAACAACAACAACGGTGTTGATGTTATTGTTAGTGAATGGAGATGAAGGACGTTTGAACAACAATTATCAGCTTGAACCCAACAAGGCATATGTCATGTACGTTTAAGATGCAAAATCACTTGACTGACACGACAGAAACTCGTTTTCCACTTTCAATTTCATTAATAATCAAATTTTACTACATAGTAAGTCATGCATGAATTCCCAATTCAGCTGCATCTACATTACTAGCACTCACACTCACTGCAAGCTGCTCCTTAAACAACAAAGGCAGCTAAATTCAACTACTTTCTTTTCCCATATTAAACCTTAAAAGGAAAAAAAGGAGAGCAAGTGAAATTATGGTACTATAAATTTTAATATAATTAAAAAAAAAAAAAAGGCAAAGCTTACCTATTTGCGAGTTGTGATTGAAATTCAGCAAGAAATCCTCGTCAGTCACATGATATGAAGCAAAAGCAAGGCTACCAAGAAAAAGGCAAAAATTAAAAATGATAGGAAGTGTGTGGTGGCATATTTTGCGGGGAAGAAAGTGCTCTCTACCACACGTGTCATCTCTCAATCATACTACGGTGACGCGAGGTAGAAAACAACACTCTACCGACTCCTCGAAACTGTGAAGTGATTTCAAGTTCAGTACGCCAGGGACTTGTTTTGTCACGGTTGACAAATATAAGTACCCTTCTATTAATCTCGTGAGAGAATTCCTTAATTCAGCGTGACGTCCGTCATCGTAATTTGGAAATGATGAAAAGAGACAAACAAGCTCCCAATCTTAAGCCAATGCCATTCCTTCCGAAAAGGGACCACCATGTTTACGTGGACAACGTAGGGGACAAGAGTAGACCAATCACAAATCACATTGCTTTAGATTGCACTAACCAGAATCCAGAGTCAAATTCATTGCACCAACCAAACTACTTTGGTCCAGATAGTCTGAATCCACGTAACATCTAGACCAATGACAAAATGCAATCCTCTTCTAAAACGAAAAGTTTCAAACCGACCCAGTTACAATCGCTTTTTTTTTTTTTTTTTTTGCGAGAAATTAACTAAGAGTTAAATGCTAATCACGTTCATGTAGCCAAATTTTGACATTCCCTGCCTCCTATTTTGTGTTTTCCCTTCTTAGCCTAAGACTTATTCCGTATAATAACAAGAAAGTATTTATTAGGGATACACGTCAGCAGACGGGCATTTTTGGTCTACATTACTCGGATAAGACTTTAAAAATAAGGCGGGTTATTAGTTGCAAAACCAGAGTTGCAATTACTCAACTTTCAAACTTTCTACCCATTTTTCTTTAATTCTGCTGCCATTACACATCCAGTTATCTTTTTAGCCCTATGTATATATAACATACAAAAAATTAAATTTTGCAGCATAGACTTTTTAATACAAGAGAGAGAGAGAGAGTGCCCCACAACAACTGGTAAGCATTCCTGAATTAGTAAGCTGTGTTTCAAAATTAAACAGCTCCATACTATCCAGTTGGGGCAAACCGATGAACAAACGCAACGAGCTCTTAGGAGCTGATGTCAGAACCTTGCTCTACCCAGACTACTCATTTAGTACCAATCCCCTTGTTGGATAATCGACGCTTGTAGCGCTTAAGCACAGAAGCTAGATTCTCTTTTCCCTTTGGGAAAGCAACATCGCCAGCAGCAGTTCCTGATCGACCCTTTCGGCAAGATATGGCAATCTCCACATCCTTAATTAAATCCAGAAGCGTTGCTGCAGTTGTGCATTTCCCCTCCCCGGTTTTGAAGCAGGGGGCAACATTCCATTCGAAACAGGTGGACTTGGCCTGTGCTGGTGAGATGCAGGGAGGATTTGAAAGCAGTAGCATGGGGACATGGGAATACGGGGCTTTGAAAATGCCACTTCTATGATGCCCTATTATTCAGAAAGCATTGCTGTCAGTTTTAAAGGAGGGGTAAAAAAATAGACAAAATTTCAAAAACATGCCATGATAGGATTTCAAGAGCCATGATAGGACATGCCACCCAAAGGGATATTGCGGAGAACAATTGCTTTCTAAAACATACTTAGAGATATCGATGTATGCAGTTGCCAATTGCAATGCAGCATTAAGGGGAAAAACTAAAAGAACATAAATGATTTAGTTGCAACTATAATAACAAAGGAGCATAGCAGTAAGTGAATTGGCTCATCAACATGAACAACGACATGCAAAAATGTGCAGGAAATCAATGGTGAGCATTGGCCAACATTCATGAACATAATGAAGGTTTTTTTTTTTTTTTTGCCTCTGGACGATGTACGGGGAGGAAATACCGTAAAACATTTTATGCAGAGACCAAGATCCTAGCAAAAGATTGGAGAAATTTACCTGAAGACGATTTAGCACATACGTGTATTTCCCCCACAGCTCGGGCCGGCTTTCCATGAGTGACAAATCTAGAATCCGGTGAATACACCAGACCCCAAAACTTATTATCAAATCCACTCTCCAAACACAGCCCTCCCCACAATGGGGAACTGAGGAAACCATAATGTTGGTAATACCTGCATCATCATTCCTCAAAACAGAACCAGACTTCCTATCAGAATACAAATATGGTGATTCACCCATGTGAGCTACACAGTTCATTTCTCTTGTTTCAACTTCATACAAATACCTCTCCCTCGCAGCAACATTATCAATAAGATCCTCGTCAGCTCCATCATTTTGCCTAAACAGCCAGTCAGATCCTTCCAATTTCAAAAGCTTCACAATGCAACGCCTGAAAGACTGAAGAAGTTGGGCCTCTGGATCCACAGGAGAAGTTACTTCACAATTAATAGAATTAGACCGATTTCCTAATCCACTCCCAACAGCACGACTTTTGTCAGCGACACCAAACTGCTCAAATGGCTGCTTGGACCAGAAGGATCCAGGGTCTGGAGTCATGTGATACGAGAAAGCATCCCCATGCCCTTTAGGTAAACCCTTAAAAGACAAGGCCCCCCTGCTCCTGATCCAGTATTTGAATAATAAGATTGTTCATAACCAGTTCTACTAACTGACGATGAACCGAATCCCATAGACTTGTTGTCCCACTGAGCACCCTTTTCAGACATATATAGGTCCCTGTAAGGACTAAGCCCTGAAATGTCAGGCAAGCTATGGTACTTCTTTGTATTAGCTGACATTCCTGCATCATCAGCAGATACAGAAGAGTAAACATCATGATAAGGTCTTTCAGATTGCAAGGGACTATTTCTAGATACTGCAAGGTTCTGAAATCCTGAGGGTTGTGGAGAGCTTAGTCCATTTTGCAATTTTTGCCCCATAGCAACAGCAAGTGGATCCCTATAGTTTCTAGGGCCTAAGGATGGTGATATCGGTGCTGGTGACTCCATTTGACCATTTATGCTACTGGAACCTCTTTCCTTGGCAATTTGATTGACAATAGATGCAATCTGATAACCGTGCACTGTAGCTGGCTGATTATCCCAGCCATCAGAAGATGGTAGCGTGCGTACACTAGAATACCGTCTCTCACTCGAGTCAGCAATACTTCGGCTGGGACCTTGTGCATATGCATCCAGCAACTGCATGTGGTTGGACCACAATGAGGATGGTCCCCTCTGAACTCCATATGATGAGTCAATATTGCTTTGTGCCCTCAACTGCTTGGGAGAGTCGCATAAACTTGAATTGATTAGAGAATCAGATGCTCTACCACCAAAAGATGAGAAATATCCACTAAATTCCTTCCCAGCAGTGTCCGCTTTCAGAAGGGGAGAAGCAAGCTTCAAATCAACCCCCAAGGCGTCCAGTTTCTTGGTCTTTGCTTCTTGAGTTATTTGTCCATGGAAATCATACAATTGTCCCCAAAACTCATCAAGAACTGCAGCTAATTGGCGTCTTGCAGCGCGCCCCAACCCTGCTAATCTTGAAAGACTTCCAGCACCATTCGCACCATCATCACTTTTACCACTAAGACTCCTAAATGATCCAGGACCATCAGATGTCAAAGACGAAGTACTTCCAGGAACCCCTTTGGATGATTCTTCGGGCTCCCAGCTATCCCCCTCATCATCCTCCTTTTCAGTATGCAAATCACCCTCTATATCCACAGTCTTTTCAACTGGGTCCATTGATTCAATATCAGCCTTCTTGACACCAAGCATTTCACCATCGGGAACCACGTTCACAGCAGCTGACAGAGATACTGACTTTATTGTAGGCGATGTTTCCTCCTCATAGCATTTTGTGGGACTAGAAAATGTAATTTCCGAATGATTTTCTTTTATAGAAGTCGAATGAAGCTCCTGATCAGACTCCATAATTGTTTCAGGCAAATCAGAACCAGCATTTGCAACAGTAACATCTGAGTTACTCTCTGCAGACTTCCCTGGTTCTGGTAATTGTTCCTGCCCCCCGACAGGTTCCTCTCCAGTATATCTGGTGTCATTCAAAAATTCTTCCTCTATCTGTGTCGATAGCTCAGATACAGTATTTTGTACACCCCAGTTCCATACCTGAGCATCTAAGCGGGTTGCAGATTTCAATGGGGTAGCTGCTAGCCAGAGCATTAAACAAAATGATGAACAGGCAGTAACGAGAAGAACAATGTAAGAGGTTGACAAACCACTACCTGTGCTCCATCTCAAATTACCTACCCAATCACTATCCCCAAAAATCATTTCCACCACAAAAATAATCTTTATGCCCAGCATCCCCATGAACGAAATCACTGCTAAGAACTCCAAGAATGGAGAAATTTTGTAGGCACCCATCACTTGTCTTGATGAAGCGACACGGAAAAGGGGAATTACAGAAGATGGAAGTATTAACGCTACCATAACCTGTGTAAATATAAGCAACTGGTATATTCCTTCAACTCCTGAAGTCCATACACAATAAAGGGCTGGAACAACCGCAATAATTCTGATTGTCGCACGTTGAAGCCAATTAGGAATATCAAGTCTGAGAAAATCCTGTAACACTACTTGCCCACCAAGATTCCAAGAAAATGCTATGATGTGGTTCGCGAAAAACAAAATGAGTGAAAAGACAAAAGGTGCTACTGGACTTCTGAACACCTGAAATGATCATCATTTGGAATCAAAGTAATAAGTATTCATTAAATTCATGTGGAATAATGCTTGCATGCCCAAAAAGGTCTTTGCAACTAATAAATATAAGAAAAGAGCAGTACCAGTTCTATTAGTGACATCGCATCGGGAAAAGTAAGTAAAACAAGGCCAGTACTGTAGAACACATTTGCAGCGGAGTTCATAAGCACATAGTTTACCAGATAGATGCCACTGAAGATGCATAAAATGGCAAAAAAATGGTTAAGACACAAGGCATCCTTGGAAATATTTGGTGGTCCCTGATGTTGCTGCAAGAAAATTAAAGATACAGAATCTCAGAAAGTAGTCCAACAAAAGCTATCAAGTGATATCGAACTCATTTCAAAAGTGCATGAAACCTAATAACTGAAACACACTGGTAGAGCTTAATAAAATAACAGCCATTAAGCATTAACCAGGTGCACATGTCAAATTCATTTCTATGTTCCAACAATGTGCATGAGTAAGAAGCTTTCAGGCTTCTTAAACAATCAAAACTAACAAACTCAAATGTCTCTGAAAACCAAAAAGAAAAAAAAATGAGATCATGGCTTCCATATTCACACCAGGAAGTTAATAAGAAAAGGTTGAGCATTATTTTCCAAATGTAGTTTATAACTTGTCTGAGTGCAGTAGAGAGAATAATGAAAAGCATCCTAGAATTGCCTCTGAAGTAGTTTGTGGCTTTTTCCACCATCAAAATGAAATAAGTTTGCGCAGGTGAAAATTAAGTTTCAAGCTAAGCAACATGCTTCCACTAAAGTTATACTGCATTCCCAACAAAGGAGGGCCTCCGTGGTCAGTCTCAAAACAATGCCAATCATAATCAATACCCCAAAGTCGAATGTCATCAAAACCCAAGGCTCCTATTGGGTATATTATAAAAACATCCCCATAAGTGCTTTTTGAAAGATTGAACAACTATAAGAAATCGGTTCCCACAATCCTATCAATCAAATTCTAAGTTGTAACGATTTTGCTACAGGTTGGATGATACACCTCTCTAACCAAAGCCTTCTCTTCCCCAACCTGGAGACCAGCGATGCCATGAATGATGTGTTCAGCAACTAGCCAAAAACGTGGACAACTTGATGGTTGTAACTCTGAATCTTAAAATCTATCCTCTCTCTTGGCTCTTTCCTTTTTTTTTTTTTTTTAAAGCCCATGCTCCATAGGAGCCTCACCAAACATCTATCCACACCTAACTGGCTTTAATTTGTTATATCCCCATGTAAAAGATATGTCCAAAGATGGGCAAGAAAAAGATGCTCTACTAGATTCAATTTATTTGCAAGAATCCTGATTCAAAGCACGCTGCTTCTCTATGCATTTGAACACCCACATCCTTACCAATGCAAAGGAACATATTTACACGTATAGCTATGGTAAATAGATGCATTATTAAAGCAAATTCATATCCAGTCACCAAGCTATATGAGAAGAATATGCTTGTTTGGCCTTTTGGTTGTATCGGGGGTTTTGGGGGGGTGGTGGGGAAGAGGTAGGCTGGAGGATGTTGGAATAGTGACACTATTAAGCACACACCAACCCAGCACAGGTACAGATTCTCAGATTTCTCATATCAAATACCTCACCAACCCAATTGCCAGTATCATTGTCAAAAGCCATTATGTTCCCATATATTAAAATTTTATCAGTCAAATGCAAACCAAATTCTTTTAAAAAAGGAAAAGCCATGCCAGGCAACAAAGATTCCAAGAAAAGAAAAGGTGCACACTTAGGCTCAACTCTGACGCATCTGTGCATGGCACAATTGACACAAAGAACACGTAAAAGAAATTAAGCACCAACTAAAATTCAACTAGTGAAGTAGCAGGAAGAAAAAAAATCCTCTCTGCACCATATTTTAAAACTCAAATGTCCTCAAATAGAAAACTCAAAGCCCAAACGGCAATAAAAATCACTGGGCCAGAAATGGCACACTAGAAAAGTCTCTGAACAGTATCCAAAATGATATTGACAATGCACACAAAGGTCCAGATAGACACAGAAGGGCTGGAGGAAAAAAGTGCGAGGAAAAGGAGAATTACCAGCACAATAGAAGAATGGAGGAAAAAATTGTGAGGCATGATGCTTGCTCCAAGAAGACTCATCAGGGCAAACAGACTCTCCTCACTTAACTTTGGTGACATCCCATTCATGGAAAGAGGGATTTCTGGTTGGCTGATGAGAACTCCGAAGAAATACAGAAGTAATAAGAAGCCTGCAATGCATGTGCACAGGAAACTTGCCTTGCATCTCTCCTGGGAAAAAAGGCAATAAAATCAATGGTGATATTTCTAAGGTGAGCTGATAAAAAATGCAAGCAACTGGTCTTACCAGGAGGGTAGCAAAAACTGGAAATAAAACAGCGTCAACAGCAGCTAAAAAAACACAGGTGGATAAGTCCATCCCGAAGAGAAGATTAAGACCATGTGCAATGCCGAGAATCTATTGAAAACAATTCACAAGTTAGGACCACAATAAGCGATCTTGTGTATAAATCGCATTACATACTAGATGCCTTAGATCCGTATCTTTGGAAAAGGCAATCAGATGTACTAAATAACTAAGAATGAGAGAAAATACCATCGTGAGGTCCAATGCAATCACGGAACACACTGCTTGAACTCCTAGAAACATGCATGTCCACTTGTCATACTCATCGCTGCAAATCTATAGCATCATAGGGAAGAGGTGAATTAGTTAAACTTCAAATTATAATTGTGCGGGTGGGGATGTAGAACAGTCAGTGAAGACACCAAATAATCAGAAAATTCGCTATTGTTCTTTGAAATGCAAATGATAGCTGAAAAAGCATCTCTGCATATACATGTACGAATGTACATACAAATGGATCGATAATGCTTTAAAAATAGATGTGCTTGCTCAGACATCAGTCTAAATGGAAAAGTCTACTAAGAGTCCTGCTATCTTAGTACTGTAGATAACAGGGTCCTTAGTACTGTAGATAACAGGGTCCTTAGTAGACCTCTACCTTTCCCATTAAAATGCAAGGGACATGAGCAGTACCATGTGGATTAAACCAATCTATTTCCCATTTCCAAATCCTAGTATTTCATTACTCCCATTTGCAAGAGGGAGACAGAGCTCAAGAGAACCTAATCATGGATGGAACACAAAAAACTATTTCATCTTTGAAGGGAACAAATTTGGTCATAGTTTCAACAAGTAGAGAAAAATAGGGAAACAAAAATTCACATAGAATATCCTTAAGGAAATAGGATTATACCTGAGCAAGATCTTTTCCAGTGACCACACCAATTCGAGCAGAGAGATACTGGCATAAAATGGCAACAAAATTGAAAATGAGCATAGGCAGTACCAGATCAAACCCAAAACGTGCACCTCCTTCGACAGTTGCTGCCCACTTTCCAGGATCAACATATCCAACTGCAATCAGAAGCCCAGGTCCAACAGCAGGAAGCAGCCGATGAAGAAAATGTGGTAGATGGTTAGCATTTACAAACTCAGTTTCCATGTTACTGAATAGTACTTCAAACAAGACTGAACTTCGAAATACAGAGTGATATTTAAAAGCACTTTCAAGCAACAGAGGAACCTCCCAGTGAAAGCCAAAATAAACAAATTACATTGCTACTTAAAGATACCCCTCCTTGTAATTTATGCCTCTTTTCACTTATCATTCAACAGAAACTCCAACAACTTTGTCGACTGAAAATGCTAGCATGAGTAACACCGAGTCAAGTCCACTTCCTTTTGAAGCACCTTAGCAGAAGGTGCAGAGCTCGTCCAACAACAGCAAAGATAATATGGTACTTGAGGCTCTACCAAATGCACTTAGCCAGACAATACCCAATAGAATCTCTTCAAGGAAAGGTTAGTTGCACGGTGACCCCTAGCGAAAATTCTAATACTAGCTGTGATCGTCAGATACCAATCTAACACTTGCAAAATCAGCTTGCATGCTACACGGGAGCAACTGTGATGGCCTACTGAATAGGCTACTCATCTCCTGACAATGACTAGCAGTTAGTCAGATTCAAGCAAACATTCCTGCAATTATTTGAATTTCATCCCCTCCTTTGGTGTTCAACCCTGATTCCATGAATAAAATCAGTCGACAGCTAAAAAAAAATCTTGAAAAAACTATATAACTTAGAAGACATTAATGCGCAATAGGATGAAGCAAGCCATTGGAGTTGCAAGATCATCATTTAAAAGGAGTATTTGAAGCATGCGATCACTTCGCAGGCTAAAAATGAGACATCATGCAGTAGGGATACAGTAAGCATCAGTCAGTTCTTGCATAGTATAAGAAATGAAGGCTTCAAATTATTAAAAAAAAAAGAGTAACAAAGACCCACCATACGAAAAAACCTCAATATAATCATTAATTAAAGCACCCCCAACAAGCTCAATCACACAGATACACAAAATCTAGAGAGACATATTTTGTATCCTTACTTTAGCTTGTTTGAAATCACCATTTCCAAAACTAACTTCAAAAACATTAACTCCTAACAAATTAGCATGATCAGTTAAACCTACAGCTAGAACATCAAAATCCAAATACTAGTAACTAATAAAACGCAAAAAAATCCACCTCGGATCTTACCACAGCATAAACCAAAACCAAAACCAGCTCGAATGACACAAAACTGATAAAAATCCATCAAATAACCAAAAATCCATCAATAACCAAAACTCAACCCCTAGAGCTTTAAACCCAGAAATGAAACGACCCCACAAAACTTATTTAATAATAATTAAAAAAAAAAAAAACTTCTACAGATCTGATTCACAAAAAAAAAAACCCAGCATTTGTACAAATTTATTGGTCAACTTCAAAAACTCAAAAACAGCATGAACAAAATCCGTACGATACTAACGTGTATATCTTTGCAACTTGGGTTTTCAAAAAATAAATAAAAAAGATTGTTTCTCTATCTTCTTGCTTTTTTACCTCTCTCTTTCTATGAGTGTGAGTTTCTTTCTATCTCTACTTGTCCTTCCCTCTCTCTGCAATCTCTATCTGGAGTTGTACACAAGTAGATCTCAGAAAAGAAGGCCTTTATGAGAAGCCACGCAGTTAAACACTTATCAAAGGCTTTTCTTTTTAAAAAAAAAAAAATTAGAAAGAGAAAGCTCAGTTTTCAGGGAAAGTTGTAGAGAGAGAAGCAGAAAGTGAAAAGAGACAAAAGAGATCTATATTTATATAATATTATTAATAATTATCTGGAGTTTGTTTGGGATTTCCTTCTCTTTTTTCTTTATTATTATTATTTTTTTTTTTAACTCCATCTTGAAGAGAGAGAAAAGGAAATCGAGTTTATTAAAGAAAAAGAAAAAGAATTTAGTTTTTTCCTCCCTCTAACCTTTTGATATTTTTATCTTCTCTCGTACGTACTTTACTGTTGCAAGATTTTATTTTATGTGGGAAGCAGGTGATAGGAGAAGATGATGCTGCTTTATTTTGCTTTGACTTGCGAAGAGACATATGGCGGAATATGTTTGAATTAATTGATGATGAGATGTTTTTAGTTAAAAAGAGGTTTCGTACTTCCATTTCATCGTACACGTATCTCTAAACTTTATTTACTTTCATTAATTTACCATTGCTGTAGTAATGTTTTATTATGGGAAATAATTCTTCATTGTTTCTGGTGGCACGTTAAAAAAAAAAAAACTCATTTAATTTGAGACCTCACAATTCTTTTGAAGTTTAAATCAGTTTGTAAATGATGTTGCTCTATATTTTATGATCAAAAGTCTAACGCTAGAAAAAATTGTACAAAAAATGATTTTTTTAATGTACTAATATAACATGTTAAACGTCCATTTAATATATATATATATATATATATATATATATATATATATAGTCTTCACCTGAAATAGTTGGTTTGAGATAACCGTTATTGTCGAAGTAGGGAAAAAAAATTGAAATCTTAATGTTTTAGTCCCATGCTTCCAAATCAAAGTATTTTTCGTTACATAATGGCCCAATTAACATAAAAAATATTTTCAACGTCATGTGAGCATATATTTAAATTTTTTAAAAAAAATTAAATACCGAATAAAATAAATAATTAAGCTTTTGCAGAATTCTTATGACTACTTTCTTTCTGTGGATTACTTTTTCATAAACAATTTTACGAATTGCTTTTAAGTTCATGGTCCAGCCTCGCTTAAACATGAATAATAAAAAAAATATTCAATTCAACCAGCTTTTCCCTTGTTATATATGTACACACACATTGTAGAGAAGCAATGGCCTCTTAAGGACCAAATGTTAAATTTAATTTTTTTCAAAATTTACAAATTCCATTTTGAAAAAAAAAAAAACATCCTGGATATAGATTCGATTTATATTAATCATCGAAATAAAACTTTCAATCATACCGCATCATACAAATCGTTAACCTTACCCATGTAACGGTTATTTGACCGTAAGCATAGCGCAGGTATCTAACTAATTAATTTCTAATCACAATAAATTTCTTTATCTTTTCCTCGTTAGAGTTGGTTTAACTAAATTAAGTAAAATCATATATATTTTTTATATTGTGATTTTTTTAAAAAAAATCTAGTTTATTCAATCCGGATAAGTATTTGTGTTGATACATTGGTACATGCTTCATGAGTTTAATTCTTCGTTAGAGAGTACATATTTGGATAAATTGTAATAATTCTCCTCATGTATTATGAAATTACAAAGAAAATTTAAAATTTTGTCATAAACCTACTTTATATTTAAGCAAAAATCACAAAAATTCCTTTTGTATACAAAATACTCTTTTTTAATTATTTTTTAACTGTAATGAAAATTTTAAAATGTTAAAACATTTTAGATACAAAATCTTTGTAATTCCACTTTAAATAAAAGGGTTATTGTAATTTATTTTTTATGGATTCCAAGTTCTAGCTTAATGGTTTTTCTTTAATTGATTATATAAATATAGATTTGGATTAAATTGATTTAAAAAATATATCACTCAATTCATCAAATAAAAAAATGACATTAATTTGCACAAAATTATGAAAGCCCCATCATGTTTTTAAAACTCTTGAGAATTCATGGATGATGGCGAAGGAGACTACAATTTCAGCAATGAGTAGTGACAATAGCGTACTACTGAATGGTGGGTCTTAGTTACTGTGGTATAAGAAGAACAGAAAGGATAAGCACAATTGTCACTGTCTGGCTGAGCATTTTACCGTTTTGGACAACGCCTTTGAGAATTTGCAGGGACCTTTTTGTAAATCATGCTTGGTTTCAGCTAATAATAATACACATGTTTTTGTCGTCTTGTGACAATTTATTTCGTCATCATATTCCTCATTTTTCAACATAATGCTTTGTCCTATTATAATTTGCTCCTTTTTGTTAATTTTAAAGTTTGAATTCCAAAAAAAGACCGTTTTAATTTTGTTTTAACCAAATATCAAGGAAAATGCACCAACAAAAAAATATGTATAATAACTTTATTTGAGCTGAGACCTTATAATTAAAAGCTAAATTTCTTCAAAAAATCATATTGTGCTAAAAAATAAACTGTTACACCAACAAATAAAACTGCGATAGTTTCTGAACTATAATAAAAACTATGGTAACGATGACTGACTAGGTTTATTCATCAACCAATACTTAAAGATGCCAAATTTTACTGTTTCTGACAAAGCAAAATGAGCAGGCGAAAAGTTCGGCAATTAATGCTGGTGAGGTAAGATTTGATGAATTAGATAAATTTTATAATACAAGATAAATAATATATATAAAATAATTATTCTATATATCTATTTTGAAAAAAAAGATAAACGTCAAAAAAATAATAAAAAAATTAAATAAATATGATAATTTTTTTATTATTTTATATGGGTTTGAATATAATTTAATGTATCTATTTTTATTTTTAAAATAAATTTATAGAGTAATTATTATATTTATCATTAATTAATTTTTTCTGTATTATAAAATTTTTAGCCGACGCGCTACTGTTTAACTTAATTAAAACAGGCCATGTCTAGATTTGGGATTATCATTGAAAAGTAATTTAATGGAACTAGGAACCATCTGCCATCAGCCATGCTTTCTAGTACCTGCACACGGTGCTGTGCTGCTTCATTCTGATCATAACCCCACTGCCTTGCTGCTTTCGAGAGAGATGCATGGTCAATTGGAAATGTAAAAACTAGCATAAATAACAAGTGAGACAGCAGGCTATAGTTACTGCAATACTGAAAATTTCCATCAGGTAATACGAAGTGTCTTTTAAGCAATTAGCTTGAAAATTTTTGTTATTTCTACATGGAATTTCATTCATTCAAAAGAATTAAATCGATTTAAATTTTAAAAAGATTAAATAATAGAATAAAAATCTATTTCTTGGTATTATTATTATTTGGGATTGAAAACTATGGAGTAAAATATTTCAAAAAGATATCTTTTGCGAATACATTAGTTCAAATCTTAAACGTTATAAAGAAGGAATTTATATTCTCGATACGCTAAGTTGTTGACAAAAAACTATTATAGAAAAAAAATCGTTTTTTTTTAAATGTCTTACCTGTGGAGAGAGATGTCTATAAGGGAAGTTGGTCATTAATTTAAGCAATCAGGTTCTGCCATTGATGGCTCATCGCTAGCTCTATCTCTGGAAATTACAATGTTTACTGATTTGTAGTAAGGGATTGCAGCTAGAAAGTGCCACGTTTGTGCATGGAAGCAACTGATCAGAAAAAATAAATAAATAATAGTAATTCCTCCCTTCCAAAAAAAAATTATTGTATTTTATTTATATCTGTCTGAACAAAAATTTTTAATCACATATTTTTTAAATATATTTCTAACACTAATAATTCTAAAAAAAAAAAGTAATATTTTAACAAAATGAAATATAATATACTAATTAATAATCTTTTTAATCTATGTATAAAAAAAGATTAAAGAATACTATATTTTAGTGCAAACTACACCCTCCATATATATTATCTTACATGTTTTTAGAAATTAAATATTTTGCAGATTCTCATGCAACAATAAACCAAGAAGAATTTGCTAATGCAGACTACAATTATTTGATTGGAGACTCTTTAAATAAGAGAGGACCTATATATTAATTTGAAATATAATATAACACAACGTGGGAATCAAAGGGAAGAAACATAAGAATAGTGACTAAATAAATAAATATTACAGAAGAGGAAACTCCCGGTGGTCTCTCCCTTGTAACCATCCACATGCTTCGTCTAGTCGATCGTTGGCAATTCAATGTATCAAACTATAATATTTTTTGGTTTCCATGTGTATTATTTTTTTTCATTAATTAATTATTCTTAACGAATTAATAATAATGCACAGGGAAGCTCTCTTTACTCGAATCAAAGCATCTAGTATATAGTATTATCATTGTTATGTAAAACAAAAACAGTTTGAAACATATTCATTGAACTTGGTTAACAAAGCACTCCCTGTAAAGTAAATTACAATGGTGTTGTTCGAGATAATTACCATATGGTAGCAAAACAAAAGCTAGCTGCAGTAACCGTAGTTTTTTTTTAATTTGTTTGGTAATTAATATTAAGGTTATTAGAGGAAGGCAAATCCCCATATGATTAGTCAAAAGTCTTCGAGCACGAAGCTGCCAAGAACCTAGTTTTTCTACTTTTTGTGTACTGGATTGTGATTTTTGGGGTTTTGTGGCACTGGTCAGAGTAGTACTGAAAATGGTAATTGTTCACTGCATCTCGTTATCAAGCTATAGGTAACAACACATGGTAATATTCTGTAAATACGGAACCAAACGTGTTCGATTCTCATTAATTAATTATTTGCATATTAATTTGGTTTATTGATCCATAATAATTCAGGAGCTGGCCAAACATGCCCAATCATACCATATATACGTTAAGATAAGGGTTATAAATGTTCATCGATTAATGGCGCAAAAAGACTTAATCAATAATTTACCATTTAATATTAAATATTGGAAGAACGTCATAAGTGATTTGATAATTTATATATTTTTAATTGTTTATAGTTTTTTTCAATTCTCTTTCAAATTTTGAAGCCTATAAATAGGCTTGATTGTTCATTTATTGATGTATAAGTATTTTGAAGTTGTTATCTCTTGTATTTATTTTATTTTATAGTGAATTCATTTTCCTATCATCTTTCTCTTCAATTCTACTATTGTTACTATTTCTTTTATAATACGTTATCGGCATGAAACTCTAACCAATCGAGATAATAGACAATGAAATATGTATATATCAAAAGACTTAATCATTTATTTCAACCATTAGTTTTTTTTTCTACACAAGTGGTCTACCAAAAGGTCTAAATTATTTAGATCATTAAGAGGTATATGTCTAATTGATGTATTTTTAATTGTTCATAATTTTTTTCAATTCTCTTCCAAATTTTGAAGCTTACAAATAGGGTTGATTGTTCATTTATTTGTGTATAAGTATTTTGTAGAGATTGACGAGAATCAT